GCAAGTGGCGGAACCGCGAAACTTTCTTAACGCGTTTGCAGCTTGTTGCTCTACGTATATACTTTTAGACTCTGCCGAGGGAGTAGCGCCTGCATTGTTGTTATTCTATCAGCCACCCGATTGTAATTACGTAAGCCGAGAAGTTTCCGCACAGCATGCGCTTTCAATTTCCGCATTCCGAAATTGTTTGTCGAAATCAAATTCAAATTACAAAACGATTTTCGCTTCTGCTGCTGGCATCTCTTTTTGGCCCAACCCACCTGGCTTTTGCATTGATTTCGCCAAAGAGATCCGGCGGATGTGTTTGTCTTAGATTTCCCCTTTGTCAAGTGGCTGTGAGTTCGGCGCTTAAAATTATTACGACTGCTATTTTTAGGCGCATGCCAGGATATTTTAAAGCAACGCATGCAGGGCGTCGAATTGCGGTTCCGAGTTCAAATTGAAATCGAATTAGCGTCGCTGACTTACTGCTTTGTTGGCTCTGATCGCATTTTGTGCGAAACACGCATGACAAACTGCAATGCCAATTGGCGGCGCCTGGAAATACACTAAAAAAATAATGTATATTTACACAGTAGTTAGTACTACTTCTACAAAAAATTACAGAAACAGTGGGAGTAAATATATATTAATTTTTTATTGGAAATATAACCCATCGAAATGAAATGAAACTATAACCAAGAGTATCTGTTGTGCAAAAGAATTCATTTTATTACTCGTTGCATTAATATTTGACTTTTTTTCTTCGTGTGTATATGCCGAGGTAATGCCAGGATTTGCGTGCCCATTTTCGTGGGAGATAGGCCGTTGTGTGGACACCAATTCCGACGGGTGTAAATAGTGTTCGATGCATTCTGATGTCTGGCCTTTTGCACTGAATTTTTGGGCAAGGGCTTTGTTTGTGTTCATGGCCTGGGTTAAGCGGGCTCAGATTGGTTTGGCCACCGATAAGCCAACTGATTTCTATGGCCAGTCTGTGCACTATGAATGAATCTGGCTTTCAAGGAAACCAATCGGCAAATCAAAATATTGACATTTGAATTAAAGCCAAGCTCCGGATTTTATTGTTGCCCAAATGCATTAAATCAATGCGTTATTGATAATTGACTGGGTTCGATATATTGCACACTTTAACTGAAAGTTAAAGTAAAGAAATATTAATCTTAAAAATACAAAAATGTTTTTCTACCTTTAAAGTTTCCAATTGGTTGATTTTCCAACTAATAAATATAACATTTATTGCATTGTGAAATGAAAAATGTTAAGCAATTTAAATTTCTTTTAAAGCTCATTCAAAAGGTTGCCCTAAAATGTCCTTAACCCTTGACCTTTTTTGCAGGCCCTTGGCTTTTTCATATTTTCGCTAAGCAGCCAGCACAAAACGCTCATAATTTGCTTGTTTCTCTGCACTTGAATTAGACATGGCCACGTGTTATTCTGAGCCGTGTCCTTGCAGATGCGAGACTTGAAAAGTCGTTTGCTCGGACTGTGCAAACAAAATGAGCGAGCAGCGGAGACTAGTAAATGCATTAATGGATGCCATCCACCTGAGCAACCTGAGCCACCTGAACCACCTGAACCGCCTGAACCGCCTGAACCACCTGACCCACCGGCTCTTTCTTCGCTCTATCTCCTTAGTTCGTGTGAGTGAGCCAGGTGCTCTTGACATTGCCCCGAGTGAAAGGAGGCTTCAGTGTTTACGCTGCGACATGGCGAATGCTTCAGCCTGGAGAGTTCTCGTCCTCGTGCTCTGCGTCTTTGATTGCTCGTCCTCGTCTCGCTGGGATCGGAATACATATACCATTCTTTATACATATGTATGTATATATGTGTGTGTAGTTGTAAGACATATAGTGGGGACTTGTCTTGGGCTCGTTAAGTGTCGCCTCCTTATGGCATTTCATGCTATTTTAAATGCATTTGAATAAATAAACACTCGCACGGTCGTAAAATGTTTATTACGTGGGCAAATGTTTGTGTCTGGCCTCATTAGGAATGAAAACGGAGATCGGGGCGGTGAGACAATGTGAGCTGCAGCATCCACAACCTACAGTTGCTCGCATTTAATGCATTTTTAATTTAAACGCACATCCCTCTGAGATGTTAAAATTGCATCGAAATTGCTTTAATTGAGTGGATTTGCATGCGAGATTCGATGCGAACACAAACCGAATCAAAGTGTCCCCGAGGGCGACTCGATGGGCACCGAAGTGATTTCGCCTCAAGTTGTGGCCACGTTTCAGTAGTTTCAGTTTTTTTTAACGCCAGTGAGAAAGTGGATTTTAATTGATTGCCCATCGATTATTGCCCGGCGTACGTGTCGTATGCGTGATATTTCAAATGGTCTTTCATTAACTTGCTGCTGCAAATATTTGCCAACAAATTTGTTTAAACGCTCTCTCCAAAGAGCAAGAAAAGTATTATATTTGCATACGAATTGGCTTGATGACCTCCTTCCATTCTCTAATGGCGAGCAAACACTTCCGAGATTCATGTTTCTCAACTTTAGCTTGACACTTTAAGTGGAAGTTATGCAAATAAATAAGTGTGGATTGACTTGACTGACAGGGAGATATATAGATAAATATAAAGACACAGGCGAAGGGTTGAGTTGACAGATGGAGTGGGGACAAACATGCAAAGCTAATTAAAGGATATGTGGGTGTGAGTGTGTGTGTGTGTGTGTGTGTGTGCGTGTAAGTTACTATTGACAAACGCCTCAAGATAACTGATTCCCTTTCATAAAACCGCTGTGCCAGCCCGCTGGGCCGCATAATTATAATGAATCCTTTTAGCCAGGCAACTTAACCCTAATTTGTGCACAGCTCGCATTATCCATTATCCCTGGGTGTAAACACATTGCGTTCGCCATTGTGCTCCTCATGCAGGTGCGAAAACGGTTAAGAACGAACCCGTGTAAAAAAAGTCGGCGACTGCTACGTCTGCTAATTAAGCTCCAAAATGTAAAATGCCGTGGAGCCGGGGTGCAAAAACTCAACTATTTTCTGCATTGTTGCTGCGACTTTTGTGCATAAGACCGAAGCAGATGCTGCCTCAGATTCACACCCATCTCCATTCTCCATTCCCCATTCCCCATTCTATATATATAGCATAGTTTTTTTTACAGTGATGCGGGCAGCTCGCGAGTTGTGAAAGCTTCAGCCCTGACCACATTTTAATTGGGCTAAGCACACGCCATGTGCTGCATGTGTGACGTGCTATTAGTGAAACTTTTAAATGAGTTAGTTAAGTAAAGCGGGTTACGTTATTATGAGTTTTTGGCTCGGACATTACAAAAGCTTGTCAGCTCTGCCCGAGTCGGGGCTTCCACTCTCCTCCATTCTTCGCCACGAACAATGTGCACGGCGAAGGGTCCTTGCATCGGGGAAAAAAGAGGAGAAGTCGGGGGGATTTTACACACCTTGAATTTGTATGGGTTCTAATACAAGACAAGGATTCCGCTCTGCGTGGCAATAAAATTTAACAAGAAAAAGGAATTAAACATATATATTTCCTTAAAATCATGCTCTTACTTTTGTTTCTTAAACAGAGTATTTTGTCAATGGTTCTTGGTTACTAAATTTAGCCTGAGAAAAACGTATTTTTAACTACGCAGAATCAAACTAATTAAAATTCTATTTTTGTTTATGAGCAAATAACTTTTTCGTGTCCCTAAAAATATAAAAAAAACAAAGGCCTGTCAAATTGATTGCAATGTGTTCCATGGTTTTGCCATTTTCTATTTTATCGGCGATAATATTATTCGGGTAATTGTTCGTTCAAAGTGGGCGCAATCAATTTTCAATTAGTCGCATGCAATAATTCCGCACACATTTCTTGAAAGGCAAAAACGGCTGGGATTGCCGTTGGTAATTATTGCAAATTATATGGCACTGAACATTTGTGAATAAATGTGTGTATGTACGAGCACTGCAGTCATGGCAATCAAAAATACTTGAACACAACAGAGGAATGCGACGCAAAAGAGCCAAACGAAGGAAGGCAGATCGAAAAAATATTATTCAATTAAGCGTCATTTTCAGGACAATGGTTACGACGAGCATAAAAGCTCCCTGCCCATAAACACACAACAGCCAAAGTCTCCCTTTCAGTCAGCCTCCAATGTGCTGGCCATAAATCGAAGTAATAACACTCGCGTGGATCCCGCGCATTCTCATAATAGTTTCGTCCCTTATGCGTATGTTTCAACTCTGATTTTCGAAATTAAATCAATACATTAATGGCTGGCACTGGGCGGAAATCGAATCGCATTCCGGCACAAAAAGAAACCGAATGCCACGACATTCGCGAAAACTCTTTGATTTACGAGTATATCCACCCAGGCACATTCCTGATTGACTTGGGAAATCAATAGAGACCATATGCCCCTCACAATTAGCAGGGTGCCTCCCCCGGAGACTTTCACCTGGGGTTGGACTGCATTGATAAAACAGCTGCCTGCCCGGGTCACTCCCTCAACGAAATTTACATAAAATTCAAATAAAATAAAACGACAAACGTAATAATCATTAGTCGGCTCTCCTGGGTGCAGTCGACACAAGACACAGGACACAGGACACACAGGACACACAGGACACTGGATAGCGGACACAAGATGCCTGCAAGTGGGAGTTCCGTGGGAAGCTGACTTATTTATGGAGTTTCCATGTTAACGAGCCACTCGCAGTAAATTAATTTCGTCCCTGATAAATATTACCTATGGGCCACCCATAAATTGGAAGCACTTTAAGATATCCAAAGGTCAAAGCGTTACCTAACATTTTTTTTTGAAAGGAAAGATTAAAGATTACTTAACATTAACATCTTTCAATGGCAGAAGGAATAAGGCTCTTTCATTCTTATTAAAATATGCTGTATCAAGGCGTATAAGGTTCCACATTCATCTACTTGTAAAAGTAGTTACAATAAATTTTTTTTAAGGTAAGTGTGTTTATATAACTATGTGGTAACTTAAGAATTATTTGTATAATTTGTACTCCTCAGTATCCAATCCACTCTTGCAGGGCAATCTTTTGCTGTTCGATTTGCTCTCCCATCTTTTGGGTCATGGCGAACTGGATAAGGATTAGCAGATAGTTGACCAGAATCGATGTGAACTTATAAAAGCAAAAAATATTAAATTATTGGTTTTAAAATCTTGGTTACAGGTTTCCCACCATTGCGATGACTTTTCGGCTGAGGACGATATCCAGGCCACTGGTGAACTGGAACTTTGCCTGAATCCGCCAGGACATCGAGGAATCGACCAGAGAACTCAGCGAGGACTTTTCGGGAAACCAGTTGTCCAGTTGCTCGATGAGACGCAAACACTTTTGGGCTTCGGAAACGGTGCGATCGCAGTAGAAAGGGGCAATCAGGAGTTTGTAGAGTGGCGGCAACATGCAGAGGGCCACGTATCCGATTAATTGAAAACTGCTGCCCTGATCCTCCTCACTCTCATTCTGAGCACTGCCCAGAACGCCCATGGATCGGCCGAACAGTATGTACAACTCGCTGGTGCTCATGGCCAAATCGTGGGCCATCGCTGACCAAAGGCTGAAGGCGTACACCGCATTGATCTCCTGGACGAGGTAGTGCAGCTCCTGGACCATCGACACCACCTGGCGTATACGCAATTCTCGCACTTTTCTTTGCGGAAAGCGCCATTCGAGAAACTTCGGACTGAGCATCTGCTGCAGCAACCGGAAACGGATGCCCAGCATTTCGGCCAAGGTCATGTGGACATAGCCAGTAAAGTGTGGTCCTCCAGTGACAATCGTATAGCCCATGGCGGATATCAGAAATAGAGCTCTGTGACCGCTGCCCACTTGGATGGCGGCACAATTAATTGCTCCCAAGTAGATGATAGTTACCACCGCCAGCACAGCGACATTTTTCCTGAGCATTTTCCTGTAATTGAGGTTTGCCCCGAAGTCACTTACTAGCCTGCAATCTAAGGCAGCTAAACTTAAGTAGATTTTCAAGTGGCGATGGGCATATAATTGCAGGGAAGACACTGTGGCAACAAAAACCAAGCTGGACATGAACAATTCCAGAACTGCAATGCTTAGCACCAGATTGTCGGCCTTTCTCACTCGTTCCTTAATATCTTCAGCTTTTAAGAGAACGCTTAAGGATCCGTAGAGACCCATTAACGCCACAATTGAAATCGTCAATGAGTATATCCGCCTCCACCGGGTGATCTTAAAATTCGTACCAATTTGCCCCCAAAATCCATTGCAACCCATAACAAATTGCAAGCCGCAAATGAAGCTGGCGCAATCGAAAACAGTTTCAGGTTCGCGGAAAAAGTACAACACGGCCATCGCTACCAATTTTTGGAGTCCGACTAATGAACTAAGTGGTTATTATAAATCCACATGGGAAAGCCACAAGGAGCCAAGACAAAGTACACTTAAAACAACTTCTGCGAGCAAAAATCTTAAGGGTAAAAAGTTTGAAGAATATTAAAAAAGTAGTGTCTTTTTTTGCATATGTTTTCATTGTGTTTCTTATTTTTAAAGACGTTGCAGATTATTTAATTTTTTCGAATTAGAGAATATTTTTTGCTCTTGTTATTAAGCAATAGTTCGTTGCCCATTTTATTAAGTGTATGGTTTCTGTAACATTCAGAAGCCATTAAAGCAATCTAGTAATTACCTTGATTACTTTCGAGATAACTTGTAACAAGTGCCCCTCGCAGTTTATGAACCACTATATTTCTCATTTGCAGTTGTGTGTGGTCATATATAATCTCAGTAAACGCGGTAAGTATAAACACTTTTTTAACATGAACGGGATATAACTTTATAATGGAGTGTTTACTCCGTTATTCATACTTAAAATATGTTGTATACCTAAATTTGATGCTTAGAAATGAAATGATATGCATGACGCATTACTAAAATGTAAATTGTGTTAGCTAGATCAAAACTGGTATAATTTAATTTAATTTACCAGACGAAGTTAAGCTTATCACATGCATTTGTAAAAACTCATATATGTAAAACAATGAGTAAAATATTTCACAAGTATAAAAAACTCTCTAACAACTTAATCGGAAAGTTGAATTTCAATTAAATTGGTTTTGTGGCGAGTTACTAGTTGTATAAATTTCGGAAAATTATATAGCTGGCAAAAATACGAGTAAATTAATTTCCGCAGCCCGGGGAAAGGGAGTGAGAAAGTTGTCAGATTAAATACCATAATCCAAGGGATTATGGCCAAGCTGGGAAAAGTTGTTAATGCCCGGTGACAGAGCTCAACCCTTCGAACTGGGCCAGTTCGGTGGTATAAACATGGAATGATTTACTGCTTTTCAAGGAAGGTGAAAATAAAAGAGATGTGGGCCAAATGGGAGGGACCGTTTTGTTGCCTTTAATTAATAAAACTTGATTAACGAAAATTTTATGATTGTCCAAACGGTAGCAGGTGGCAATCAATCATCGCCCTCGCCCGGCGACTCTCACCGCTGTTAATTGTTTTCATTAAATATTTATGAAATTCCCGAAAGAAAGTCGCGCCGAGGGACAATTCAGCTGTGGAGAAGTGTAAAATTAATTAGGCCTGGCTCTGGGACGCAAAAACGTCAAATGGTTGCAAATGACAACCGAACCGAATGGAGTCACTTAATAAATTGTTTGTTGCACATTTGTGGTTCAGTGCCCATGGACACATATATAAATAAATTCAAACAAGAAATTATTTATGCGCAACTGTTGATTTTCTGGCTGATTGACCTCCGGGAGCTTAACTAGGAAATGAATGCAAAAACAAGGCCCAAATGATGCTGGGATGTTGGACTGCTCTGCATGAACTGCTCTCGAAATCAGTTAATGGAAACTATTCCGATGCTATAGCACTTGTAATTAGTTTTATTTTTTTTTGCAAATTGTATTTATTATTTATCGCCTTCCGCCTGAATGCTCAGCCAGAAACATATGCATCCACATTCGCATTAACAATGGCAATTACCGAACCCAATCGGATCCAATTGGCTCGAATTGAATTAACTTGACGCAAGAGGAGAGCCTGTACTTTTTAGGGTTTTCCCCCGCACTTTTCCGGCCATTTGTCCTTGTCACTCGCCACCACCTTTTTCCACATCCCACACACATCCTGACAGCTGGCTGACTGACTGATGGACCGCCTGATTGACTCACTCAAATGTCCAAAAGTAAAACAACACTGGATCTCCAAAAAAAAAAGAAAATCAAATCTCCGCCCATATGGATTCAATTAACGCTAATTTCAAACGCCAACATATCTGAAAAGGCTGCCGAAAATAGGAAAAATGTAGAATTTCCACTTAGTTTTCCACATGACCCCCATCAAAATTTCGTTGTCAGAGGTTCGGGTTTGACACTCCAAAAAGCAACATTGGCAACAACAGAAGGGAACCTTTCCCTGACAACCAAACATGCTTTGATTGAGGGCAATAAGTGGGCCAAATCAAATTTATAACACCGAATGTGTTAAAAATGATTTCGAACAACCAGACCTCGGGAACTCTTTTTAAATTGATCAGGGAAAGTGGTAATATTATATAACTTTATACATAATTTATACATAAATAAAAGAAACATATAATTTGCTTTTATTTGATTTTGGTATCCTAAATTATATTCCCCTTATTTCCTTTTCAAGCGTTTTAAAAGATGGCAGTTAAGTGGGCATGGCGGGAACCCATTTGTAGACACTTGCTCGACTGAAAGCGTCCTAATGCCGCTCACAATTAAATTAAATAACACCATAATTAATTACTGGCCACGCACACATATACACACTCACACACACTCGAGGGACTTGATTTGCTGGCCAAGAAGGTGCTAATGTCCGGGCCCATTCATTTTGGATGGTGTGCGTGAGTGAAATAAAGAATGATTTATGGCGGTAAGCTAACTAACGTTCTGTTTGAATCCTGAGCGGACCACGCATGTTCTTGTTCTCACAATTAGACGCTGACCCCCTGGATGGGGGCGGGGTCGAGTGGGAGTGGGAGGTGGAGAGCCCACCTCTCGAGGAGCCATAAATCGCATCGTAAATAAAGGAGCGGCATCACAATGGAGCCATCAACTTTTGATGCAACTTATAACCGTATTTGGCCGTAACGACGCCAATGGGCCTGCATTGATTGGATATATTGAGCATCCTTTAAGCGGCGGCCCATCAACCGCTCGAATGTCCGCCCATCAAGGAGCAGTGATAACGGGACAGTCAGCAGAAGGACGAAGGAGACATCCTGCACAAAGGCGTTTAATGTTAACGAGCCAATGGCCCTGGAATAAGTGCACTCCTTTCCCGGCGCTTTTATAAATTGTGTTACGCATAAAGTTTATGCGAACATAATATAGAATATATACACTCGTATATATATATATTTATATTCAAGGGTTATCATCGCGGCTGCTTTATCTCGCCAAGCAGCTGAAATATGCGGCTGTTTCTTCAGTTCGCTATCTTTGGCCCATCTTTTCCGCGCTGCATGTTCATTTGCCGCGGTTCTCCTGCCGCTTCTCAGCATAAAATCCACTCAGCCGTGCCACATAAAACCAGCAAAAAAAAAAAAAAACGATGAAATTATGGTGCCTGCTCATTGTGCTGCAGCTTTTCACCTCTCGCCCTGAATTTGCAACGCCTCGAAGTTACACAGATGCCCTGCATTCCACGGGGGCTGTTCTGAATTGGGTACATTAGTTCTCGTCATCCGGGAGATTCCCACCAGGCCGTCGACTTAGTATTTTTAATTATAGTGATGCGGAATTGTAGGGATACACAGAGAGAATGGAAGTACTATAAGATAACCAGAGCACAAAAATCCGTATATTCATCAATATATTAGATTACATGTTTTGTATTTTAGAAAGGGCTAAGCTGCAAAAGAGTGTCTTAGCCACTTACTTACTTTATTATTAAGCAAATTGATTGTATTTATGCAAAATGAAATGTGTTAAAAATCTGGCAATATTGTCTTTAAAGGATTATTGAAGAAGAAAACCTCTCAAGTGCCTTAATCCATTTCTGTACATAATTGCCTGAAATCAGATACAATCCGTATGCAGTGGAGCTATGAAAGGATCGGCATCAAGCTCACCGATGGCGCTCCAGTTTGCCCTCCAGGCAGGCAATCCGCTTATGTTGCAAGTTCCCAGGGAGACGGCAACTTTCGCTGCCACATGAAGACTTGGCGGTTTGATGGTTTGCTGCCTTCGGAACCCGACATGCGTCAGAACTGATTAATGAGCTGCAAATGATGTTATGCGCAACGCCCGCTGCCACCGCGTAAATCAGGAATAATCGGGAGCCCCGCGAAGTAGATACTGGGGAGGTCTTCTATATATATAGTACTCTGATATACCGAATGGATTCCCTTGCAGGCGCTGCATAATGATGCTAATGATGGTGTTGATGTGGCATTGTTCGCGTGCGCAGACAGCTTGGCATTCATCGACAGCATGTCACTTGTTGCCCAGCAGCTGTTTCGCCCTGACATTGTCAGTGTCCGCCAACAATAAAGGGGGAAGAGTAGGGAGAATTCCGCAGCACTTCCATTATATCTTCGGCAACCAAACTCCCCCCAGTGGGGGGCAAAGCCAGAAAGTTCCCCGCCAATTGGCAGATGTCAGCTTTAAGCCATTTTCAAAAGCAAATGTCTGACAAAGCTGCAACTAAAACTTTTTATGCCCCACTTTGCCCGGCCATTCACAACTTGTACGTGGCAAATAAAAGTGCACCCGGGGACCGCCTGCGTATCGCTTGCCAAATGGGATAGACAACACTCCTTGTTCGGCTCTGGGTTTGGCCTGGCCTGGAAACAGATTTAAGTATGCAGTTGTAAGCCATAAAATCAGCTTAATACTTCCGCCGAGCCACAAAATCTGAATTTATAGTCAACACAAGAAGAGCACGCAAAAAGCCCGAAGTTCATGGACTTCAAGGAGCCGATTCATTGAATACCTTATGTTAAGTGCTTATTGTTTGTTTTAAAGGTTAATTTTAATACATTTTTTGGGTATGAGTTGAAAATATATTAAGGAATTAAGGTAGTTAAAAATGTATATAAAATAAAATGTTGATGGTTTTCTATTAAAACGAATAACCTTTGTCCCCGCAAAATTAATAAAAAATGGTTTGTTTTAGTAAATGTGTTTTACTTTTTATACCATAACCGTTTATTTAAAAACTCTGTAAGCCCATTTAAACAGTGCGTTTCATTCTTAAACTTAGTAAGTACATAAATTTAATATCCCCCCACTTACATACTAGAGGAAAAGATTTCAAATAAAAAGTCAGAGTTCTAACGAGGAGAAATGTGTTTTCGCTGTCGTCGAATGGGTTACATAAGACCAGTTTCTGGGTTTATATGGTTGTGAGCACCTTGTGACACGGTTCGATTAGCAGGTCATCTGGTCACAAGAATTTTATTTTTCTGTTGTTGTTCCCCTTTGGAGAAATGCAAATCCCGACGACCCCTCATCAAGTTTGCTTTCGCCTTCTTGGCTGCTCACTGGCCAAGTTTCCATATTCATATCAACCAAAGTGAAAGTGCTTGATTAGCAAAAAATAAAAAATAAAGAAATCTGCCTGCTTATGGGAGAATCGAGGCATAAATATATGTGTACGTGTGGAATGACTGATTGCCTGGTTGGCTTGCCAGTGATTAGTGTTTATGCAAATGAGTTCTTATGACTTGGCCCAGGCATATAAATCAATGCTGAGGTCGGGCCAAGTTGAGATTTCTGGACCAAGATGAGCAGCAGCCACAAGTGGACCAGGCTATTCTTTATATGCCTGATTGTTCTTTTAAATTATAGTGGAAGTCCAATGGGTAAACATAATGATGAATTAGAACAAAAATCAACTAATTAATTTTCTTATCCATTTAGCAAGGCAGCTAAAACTACGACCACTGAGACCGGAAGAAATGCGGCAATTGGAAAACCATCTACCCCAAGCTCGATCTGTATCCAGCGGATTAGCTGCCATCAGTGGTTTTGCCCTGGGTTTGGGAAAGGCCCTAACTGGGGTCTTCATCTACGACGTCATTACAGCCAATATAACCGAACCCGAGGAGAGCAGTGTTTCGACGAAAAGTAATTCGGCCAGGGAGATTTGCTTTGAAGCAGGGAATTCTAACTCAGAAATAACTTGCATTGTTTACTATAACAATAATTAAAAGTTACCGATTTTGTACATTTGGAAAACCTTATATTATTAAATAATAACAACGTCGCACTATTTAAAGCTACCATATTTATACTGAGTCGACACGAGTTTGGCTACAAATTATTCTTATGAATGTGTCTATAAAACCAGTTTGGGGTCGCAGCTCAGTCAGGGGTCAAATTGTTTTTTTTCTGCGGAATTCAGGGATTTGCATATGCAAAGCTCAAAACTTTCTTTGGCTTCTCGTCACAGATAAAAGTGAAGAAGAACCCATTGGCTGTTTCAGTTGAGTTTCTACGCGATTACGCGAAAGATCTTCGAAAAGATGAGGTCGTTCGGGAATTTGACTTTTGGGCTACTGATTGTCCTCATCGCGTGTTTAAGTGTTGGTTTAGAAGGTGAGTTGTGAAAGTGGAAGTATAATGGATTATATGGATATATAGAGTATAAAAAGATTAGATATCCGTTTAGAATACAATTTAAGTTCTTTACACATTAATAATGAATAATTTAAACCTGCAGCTCGTCGCCTGGCACTTCGACCTCTTACGGGAAGAGAACTCCGCAAAGCTATAAGGGAATCTGGTTTGGATGAAGATTCGGAAGCTGGAAGATCGGTGGCCTCTGCATTAGCTGGTCTCAGTGGATTTGCTCTGGGAATTACGAAAGGAGTAGGCGGTTCCATTTTGTTCGATGTGGTGACCTCGAACGTGACTATTGACTACCTGACCAGTCTGCTCAACTCCACCGCCTCCTCGACCACTTCGAGCAGCAGTGGAACTGCCCAGGAGGTTTGCTTCAACAGTCGCAGTGTCGACGGGGATATTATCAACGGTAGGAGCAATGATGAGGTGTATGATGATGCTGATCCAGTTGGCGAATGGAGGCAGACTACAGGTTCTGGCACGACTACCACTGGTACTGGTTCTGGTGGCAGTAATGGAGTCACCTGCATTGTCCTGAGTTCAAAGGGATCTCGCCGCAGGCGTCTTCTAGAGATTCGACCGGGAACCTTGAGATCCTCTGAACGTCGCCCGTCATTGAAAAAGTATCGCAGACATAGGTTCTAGGGGAAACACTTTCTTTCCTATCCCATACTTTAATTTTAAGTTATTTATTGAGTTCGCTTAGTTTATTAAATTTTAATTGTTCCGCATTCCATGGGTCTGGGTTGGGTTGCGCTTATTAATGGTCCGATGACTTGGCTGAAATCTTGGATTGACACATTTTATGATTTGCTGACATGCACTCTGGGGTTTCGCCTAAAATATTTTGCGGGCAAAATGGAATTGCCCACGAAAATCAGGCTTTCATATGTGACACACACGCAGGCACTGCGAGAAAAAGGGGAATGAATTCAAATTAAAAGATTCATGACAGTGAATTGTTGTGCTTGCTATGATTCAATATTTTTTTCGGTGCACCCATTTGCAGCGTCACGCATACCGCAGTGGCAGAATGGTTATTAATACAAACAGCCAGGCACGCAGCCACTTCCACTCCCACTTTCACCACCCCTCCCCCTTTCACCCCCTCCCCCGTGACTCCCTTACCCCTTAACTCCACCCTCGGTCCATATGTAAACATTGAAATGTCATTGCCGTCGAGGGCAGCGGCCCGTTCACATAAATCCTCCTTGGCCACAATTTATTAACTTTAACACTAACCGATGTCAACGGAATCCCCTTCCAGGGATTTCGCCCCCCACTTCGGTTATTGATTTGGATGCGAAATTTATGTGGTCAAAGGACCTCAACCCTGGACTCTGTCCAGCGAACTATTAACTTTGAATCTTCTTTAACGACGAGCCGAATGCAGTGTTTATGTTATTGTCTGATCCCAGTGTCTGCCGTTGCCCAAACAGGAATTGCATTAGGGAGCATTTATTATTTATGTTAATGTCTGGAAAGTTCTGTCATGGTCCAAAGAAGGGGCCAGTGATTAAAGTGCGGCAGAGAGGCTATACAAAGTATGGCTTGAAGCGAAACCAAACTCAAATTACCATACTTCTGCTTCTTCAAATACCCATTGAGACAATCTCTGGGCTTAAATATGGTATTGACAGTCGAACCTTGATAATGCAACTGAAGTTTTACATAGAAACCTAAATATCAAGGAATAATAAAAATGTATTTATTTAAATTGATTGGTTTTAAGTTGTACTTTTTTAATGAGGCGGTATTTGAATCAAAAAGGCTTAATCTTTTAAAGATAATTGACTTAAAACTGTGTGTCCTGGATTTCTGGAGGTTATCTTGAATTCAATTTAAATATGTAATAATAATTAACAATAATTATAGTGCTTATATAAATTTTTATAAGAATTCCTAATATTGTTTTTATATATTTTAATTGATATTTGTTCACGAGTTTAGTTTTTTTTTGCAACTTGTTGCAAAGATTGTTACCTTTGCCATGAAGAAAGTTTGGCTTAAGCAAACAGGACTGTTTGCTTGTATATTCATGAGCGAATCAGCGGCAAAACTACAATTATTGTGCACTTTGGTAGCTTTGGTAGCGCAGAGAAAGCCGGCTTAATGACCGGGCCTTGACCCAAGAAGGGCAGTCAGTTGCTTTCCCCGCAGGCCTTCGCCAGAAATTGCGTACTAAATGCGCTAAATTACTAACTAAATGCCGCAAGTGCCGCCCCTGGGCATGGCTAGAATTTCACAAATGAACGCCCTTTTCCCTGCTTCGGCTGGGGTGGCGAAATGGCCAGCGGGGTGTTTGTTGGTAGTACCGAGAAAGCCGAGAAAGCCGAAAAACTGGAGTCAAGGCGAAAGCGAAAGCCAAAAACTGCCGACAGTCGATGACATTTGAGCGATAAGAGAAACTGTTGTGTGGCTTACTTGGTGGCTCCCCTAGTGATTTTCTATACGAGTTGGTGGGTGGTTGTTGGGTGGTTTGGTGGGTCAGAGGTCGAGGGCGAGTCTGCTGCTCCTTGTGGTTCTTGTTATTGTTGTTGTTGTTGGCATTAAGTATGCAGGCGTGTGAATTGTGAAGGAGGAAATACAAATAGTAAATGCTCTCCGTTTCGCCTTTGGTCCTCGTCTTTTGCAGGCATTTTTACAGTTGCTTTTTACAACATTGAAAATTGTTTTAAATGTTAATGTTGATGTTGCTGGGCTGATAATAAAATCGGGCGGGCATCGGGTGATGGGAGCGGGGGTGCAAAAGTGTGGGAAATGGTGTCCCGAAGTCAACAAATAATTGAGATGTTTTGAAAAGGGGGCGGCGGCTGAGTGTCGTCACACACGCTTTTCTTCGCCCCCCACATTTCCACCCAACGTTTTTCCGTTTTTTCAGTTTTTTCTCCCCGGTGGCTGAGAATCAGCTGTGAAGAGCGCGCGAGTTACCAATATGTTTGTAACACTATTGGTGTAGATGTCCCTCTTTGCTGGTGTAATTTAAAACGCTCAGTTATTTATTACTTATTTTAGGCTTTACTTTTTATTACAACGTCTGCTTGATTGCCATCTTCACCCTCGACTGACTTCAATCGAACCACGCCAAACCACTTCGCGATTCTCTCTTCTCTTTTAGTCGTTTTTTATAACGGTGGTTTCCGATTGTGTCCAGTTGGATCGTGCCTCTTCGAGTTTGTCGTAGACTCAACATCTCTACGAATAGGGTAGAGAAGGTAACTCCTCCCCCCTAAGTGCTGAGTGAGGTCCGGAATGGAGACAGATCTGACGGTACGAACGAAGATGTCTTCCTTAAAACGTGACCCTTCTCTAGTCCTAGATTAAGTATTGTTGATAAATTATTCAATTAATATAATATTAATAGGTATATGATTATTAAAAAATTGTTCATTTGCCTTATTAGATATATTGTAACATAAGTACATTTCTATTGCGTTCATCGCTTCTTCTATAAATACAATGTTTATAACTTTTATCTTACTTCTTATTCTGAATTCTGAGCTTATATAGTATAATAATAATAATAATATAAAATAATATTATAATATAACATTAATAAGTGTGTGATTATCGAAATATTGTTAATTTGCCTTATTAGACATATTGTAAGTTAACATAAGTATGTACATTTTTTATTGCGTTCATCGCTTACTTCTTATTTTGAATTCTGAGCTTATATAATATAATAATATAAAATAATATAATATAACATTAATAAGTGTGTGATTATCAAAATATTGTTCATTTGCCTTATTAGACATATTGTAAGTTAACATAAGTATGTACATTTTTTATTGCGTTCATCGCTTACTTCTTATTCTGAATTCTGAGCTTATATAATATAATTATTTTAAATATAGATATATATATTGTAGGTTAACATAAGTATGTACATTTTTTATTGCGTTCATCGCTTTTTTTTATAAATACAATGTTTATAACTTTTATCTTACTTCTTATTCTGAATTCTGAGCTTATATAATATAATAATAATAATAATAATATAAAATAATATTGTAATATAACAAAAATAAGTGTGTGATTATCGAAATATTGTTAATTTGCCTTATTAGACATATTGTAAGTTAACATAAGTATGTAAATTTTTGAGACAAACTTCATTTTCTTTTCTTTGAATGGATTAGAAATTAAATGGGTTGAGCTTCTTGTTTTTTTATCCTTCTTTTGATTTTTGATTTGTGAATCTTCTGATTTTTTGTTGTAATAAGGGTTGGACCTTTATCTTGTAGTACTTGCTGCTTTGTGAATCTAGGTGTAAGCTTATTTCTTCTATTTTCTTTTCTAAATATTATATCATTACTTTCTAGCTGCTCTGGATCTTCCCTGTCGTTATTCAATTTATTGATTCTAATTTTCATTTTTCTTTCAACTTTATCTTTAATCTCGGGATATATAACTCTCTGAAACTCGTTAAGTTTTTGGATATAATCATGTTCGTTGCTGAAAGTCGTTTCTTTGTTAAACAAATGTGGTCTACCGTAAAAAATCTCGTATGGAGTGTATTTAGTGGTAGAATGGATAGCGTTGTTGTATGTAGTAAACGTTTCGGTAAGAATATCATTATGGTCACAATCCAGTTTTTTCTCCTTTTTTTTATTTATTATGATGCGATATATTTCAGTTAAGGAGGAATGTAACCTCTCAACTGGTGAATTGCTAGATGATTGTTGGAAAGACGTAAAATGAAGTTGAATATTATATTGTTGGCAAAAATCTTTAAATATTTTTCCCGAAAATTCAGCGCCTTGATCGCAGACAAGTTTTTTAGGAGTACCGAAGAGTACAAAGAAATTTCTCATGGCTTTAACTATATTCAGACTATCCCTTGCTGGAATAGTATATCCAGCTGCAAATTTTGAAAACTTGTCTATAATTGTTAAAATTATTTTGCAATTGATGCTGTACAAGTCGATGTGTAATATTTGCATAGGCAAATCTGGGATTTCTGTTTCTTGATAAGATAGTTTTTGTGGTTGTCTATCGTATTTCAAGGTTTGACAAATATCACAACTGTTAATTAACCGGGACGTTTGATTTTTAAGTTGTGGAGAATATATTTCCCTCTTTAAATGAGCTACCGTTTCATCTATGCCTCTATGGTTGTTGTTTATATGATAATTTTGTATTTCTATAATTAATTCTTCAATATTTTCAACATCTTTCAGTATTGTAGTAGCTCTTACAATTTTGTAAAGATTTGTTGGTAAAAAGTATTCTTTTAACACTTCTTGAATGATAGTGAAAATATCATCTGCAGCAAAAATTGCGTATACTTTATTTGGTTTTAATATTGTTTTAAATATATCTGTAATTTTTTTATTATCAAATGAACTATCCGTGACTATTTTCCTTATTTTATTTTTGAAAAGAGTTGAAGTTATTATTTGAGAGTCTGTATGAATTTTAAATATAATCTGCATATTGTATTCGTTAATTGGCTTTTTTACGGTAAAAATTGTGTTTTTCTTTACATTACAGTCATTTTTTATAGAAAAGTTGGTGTGTACTTCCGCTGAAATGCGACTAAGTGAATCTGCTACTACATTTTCAGAACCTTTTTTATATGAGATTTCATAATCATATTCTAAAAGTTGCAGTTTCCACCGAACCAATTTAGAATTAGGCTCTTTAAAATTCATTAGCCATGTTAATGGTTTGTGATCGGTGTTAATTTTAAATCTTTGGCCATATAGATAAGGGCGAAAGT